CATGACAATGCCCCCGTGCACAAAGCGAGGTCCATACAGAAATAGTTTGTCGAGTTCGGTGTGGAAGAACTTGACTGACCTGCACACAGCCCTGACCTCAACCCCATTCGAACACCTTTGGGATGAATTGGAACGTCAACTGCAATCCAGGCCTAATCACCCAACATCAGTGCCCGACCTCACTAATGCTCTTGTGGCTGAATGGAAGCAAGTCCCCGCAGCAATGTTCCAACATTAGTGGAAAGCCTTCCCAGAAGAGTGGAGGCTGTTATAGCAGCAAAGGGGGGGGGACCAACTCCATATTAATGCCCATTTTGGAATGAGATGTTCGACAAGCAGGTGTCCACATACTTTTGGATATGTAGTGTAGAGATCCAAACATGCATCTGTTAGAAATTAAGATCCAATTTGTTGAAATGCCTTTTAATTTCAATAAAAGCGGCAAGATATAAATACACAGTCATCACAAAAATCAGACTATTCATGTATAATCTTATTGATTTTGACATCTAAAATTGCATCTAAGTATTTTGTATTTATTATAGATCCCCATTAGCTGCTGCCTTGGGGTCCAGCAAAATTAAGGCAGTTATACATTTTTTAAAAACGTTACAATACATTCACAACAGATTTCACAACATATTAAGTGTGTGCCCTCAGGCCCCTACTCTACTACCACATATCTACAACACAACATCCATGTGGTCGTGTGTGTATAGTGCGTATGTTATCGTGTGTTTGTATGCATGTCTGTGCCTATGTTTGTGTCGCTTCACAGTCCCCGCTGTTCCATAAGGTGTATTTTTATCTGTTTTTTTTCAAATCTAATTTTACTGCTTGCATGAGTTACTTGATGTGGAATAGAGTTCCATGTAGCCATGGCTCTATGTAGTACTGGGCGCCTCCCATAGTCTGTTCTGGACTTGGGGGCTGTGAAGAGACCTCTGGTGGCATGTCTTGTGGGGTATGCATGGGTGTCCGAGCTGTGTGCCAGTAGTTCAAACAGACTGCTCGGTGCTTTCAACATGTCAATACCTCTCACAAATACAATTTTTTTTTTCCAGCAATCTTAAGTGGCAGGTGAACCTACCAAAGGGCTCTACCTCTAATGGGAGATTTCAAAGTATAAAGCCATGGATCTTATGTCCATTGTGACTAACGTTACTGGAGGTTATTTGGAAGGTTAGAGTGAATTTCAGTTTCACACGAAAGGTTTGTGCTTATTGGCTATGTTGGATGTGTGTGAGAACAGTATGTGGTTTGTGAAGGCCTCACCTCCTCTGGGTCCGTATCGTCGACTAGCTGGTCTCAGGGGGATTCCTGTGCTGCTGGCAGTACTCACGGGTAATAGAGTCCTCAGGGGGCTTCCTGTGCTGCTGGCAGTACTCACGGGTAATAGAGTCCTGCTCGCTTTCCAGGAGCTCCCCTGACGAGTCCGAGCTGGATGCCCTTGTGCTCTGAAAGGAGACCAAGCATTCATCTCGGTTGACAACATCCAGCACAGTGCTCTAAGCCTGTCCTTTTTAGCCATGTCCATCAAGCCAGTGGCCTGTAGTGGCCTATGTACCAGCAATACACTATTTACCCCCAAAAAAATTATACAAGAAAATATTGTACGGGTAATACAATTGGTGTATTACTGTGTCGTGACAGTGTTGAGTTGAATCGGGTAAGCCATAATGTGCTTAGAAAAAACTGTGTTAAGAAAGTTATATAAAGCAACAACAGTGAAAATAAAAAACAAGACCATCTCAAAATGTGTTGGTAACCGTTCAGTTTTTACTTGGCAAGCTGTGGGAGTTTGGAGATCCTTGCTGAGTATAGCCAACACTTCATTATCTAGGGACGTATCCATCTCCGGGTCCTCGTTTTTAGGAAGATTCTAAAGAGAGACAACAAAGGCTGTTCATAATTTATTAAACTCTTAACAGAAGAACCCACACTGCTCATCATTAATAAGTGAAAAGGAGAAACTCCAGAATTCAGGATTCTGTATCTACAGTTACGCTAACATTTCATGCTGCTTGATGTCTGTTAGATTGGTTTCAATAGAAATGCCCCCAGATGAAGATGTAGAATTTTCCCCTCAACACATATCGCACTCTTGGAGCACTTCAGGGACTTCTCAGGGACTTCTCAGAGACAGGCAATAGACATTTCTTGGATTTGATTTGATTTTGATTTAAAGTGATTTACTTTATTTTTCATAGTGAGCGCCTATTTCTAAAACATCTGTGTTTTGCCTAGCTACCTCAGGGTCAAGAGTTGTATCCAAGGGGATCCCTGATTCCTCTACAGGTTTTAGAGTCCCTTCTTCTGACTGAATGTTGACTGCAAGTAAATAATTAGTCAGGAGAAAAGGAAGTAGTTAGGCTAAGTAAGCAACAAGCTACGCTTTGAGGATCAGCATAATTCTGAAGTCTGACCTTTAAGAATCATCACTCATCTATCCCATTGTAATTACTTTTATCTTACAGTTGAAGTCGGAAGTTTACATTCACTTCGGTTGGAGTCATTAAAACTTGTTTTTCAACCACTCCACAAATTTCTTGTTAACAAACTATAGTTTTGGCAAGTCGGTTAGGACATCTACTTTGTGCATGACACAAGTAATTTTTCCAACAATTGTTTACAGACAGATTATTTCACTTATAATTCACTGTATCACAATTCCAGTGGGTCAGAAGTTTACATACACTAACTGTGCCTTTAAACAGCTTGGAAAATTCCAGAAAATGATGTCATGGCTTTAGAAGCTTCTGATAGGCTAAAACCTACCTTAAAACTCAGTGCCTCTTTGCTCGACATAATGGTAAAATCAAAAGAAATCAGTTAAGACCTCAGAAAGAAATTGTAGATCTCCACAAGTCTGGTTCATCCTTGGGAGCAATTTCCAAACGCATTAATCTGTACAAACAATAGTACGCAAGTATAAACACCATGTGACCACGCAGCCGTCATAACGCTCAGGAAGGAGACACGTTCTGTCTCCTAGAGATTAACGTACTTTGGTGCGAAAAGTGCAAATCAATCCCAGAACAACAGCAAATGACCTTGTGAAGATGCTGGAGGAAACAGGTACAAAAGTATCTATATCAACAGTAAAACAAGTCCTATATCGACATAACCTGAAAGGCCGCTCAGCAAGGAAGAAGCCACTGCTCCAAAACCGCCATAAAAAAGCCAGACTACGGTTTGGAGAAATGTCCTCTGGTCTGATGAAACAAAAATATAACTGTTTGGCCATAATGACCATCGTTATGTTTGGAGGAAAAAGGGGGTTGCTTGCAAACCGAAGAACACCATCCCAACCGTGAAGCACGGGGGTGGCAGCATGATGCTGTGGGGGTACTTTGCTGCAGGAGGGACTGGTGCACTTCACAAAATAGATGGCATCATGAGGAAGGAAAATTATGTGGATATACTGAAGCAACATCTCAAGACATCAGTCAGGAAGTTAAAGCTTGGTCACAAAAGGGTCTTCCAAATGGACAATGACCCCAAGCATACTTCCAAAGTTGTGGCAAAATGGCCATCACAAAGCCCTGACCTCAATCCTATAGAACATTTGTGGGCAGAACTGAAAAAGCGTGTGTGAGCAAGGAGGCCTACAAACCTGACTCAGTTACACCAGCTCTGTCAGGAGGAATGGGCCAAAATTCACCCAACTTATTGTGGGAAGCTTGTGGAAGGCTACCTGAAACGTTTGTCCCAAGTTAAACAATTTAAAGGCAATGCTACCAAATACAAATTGAGTGTATGTAAACTTCTGACCTACTGGGAATGTGATGAAAGAAATAAAAGCTGAAATAAATCGTTCTCTCTACTATTATTCTGACATTTCACATTCTTAAAATAAAGTGGTGATCCTAAATTGGCCTAAGACAGAGAATTTTTACCAGGATTAAATATCAGGAATTGTGAAAAACTGAGTTTAAATGTTTTTGGCTAAGGTGTATGTAAACCTCCGACCTCAACTGTACCTTGGCTGCTCTCCTCATGTCTCCTCTGGTCCACCCAATCCCAGTCTCTGGTCCACCCAATCCCAGTCTCTGGTCCACCCAATCCCAGTCTCTGGTCCACCCAATCCCAGTCTCTGGTCCACCCAATCCCAGTCTCTGGTCCACCCAATCCCAGTCTCTGGTCCACCCAATCCCAGTCTGTCTGTGTCCTGGTGCTCATTCTGGAGATGACTCTGCCATTGAATGCATGGACCTCCACAGATTCCTATAGGTGTGGTCCAGGCATTCAGATAAGTCAACATTATGCCACTGACAAGAAAATTCATTGCAATGTATTATTTTCCTTCTACTGAAAAAAAAAAAAAAATAATAATCTGCAAAAACCAGATATGCATTTACATAATGTAAATGCGGTGGGCATAAATCGCAGGTACAGTTCCTCTGAAGAGACTGTTCAGAAATGTCACGGTCAATCCTTTTACCTTTCGGCTACTGCACAGGTGAGTAATAAGGTTCTGTGTACCATGGCCTATTTGTATTGAAGATTCTGAGTTTATTAGCTATCTCAACGGAATATACCTGCACCGAGTTAGTATAAAACTAGTAGTCCTAACATTATTATCCTGTTTGCAGATTTCCTTGATTCTCCCGGGCTCCGAGTCCATTTGACTGCATTACTCCACATATTCCTCCAAGTTGCCCGGCTGCTGTACAGCCGATCAGCGCCATTAAACGGCTGCTGTAACCAATGCACGTTTTCAACTGTGAGTTCAAGGGTTGTTGGGACCTGAACTGAATCTTCTAGGCCTACTTGTGATTAGACCGCTGACTAATTTCTTCATTTACACAATGGGCCAAACATTAAATCTATTCGAAATGTATCTGACAAGAAACATGACCCGTCTTTTTTCTAAAATGTTTGCACAGCTACTGATGGCAACTGTATTTCTTTCTAATTAGAAAAAATACTAAATGCCTTGGTTTCATAGCAACGAGATTTATACTACAACAACACAGGCTTTGAGTTGTCAGTTGTTAAAAGTCCTTAGAAGCCATGAGAGCTTTGGTATTTTTGGGCGAGCTCTGTTTTTCCATCTGCCTCTTGAGTCTCTGCATCTGGGCAATGAGGCTGTAATGGGGCTTAATGTTGTGGGGATTGGCCGAATGCTGGTAGGCCATGCATGTCCGCATCCTGTCCAGCAGAGAGTAAATCTCCAGGCTTTTCATTTGGAGATGTTGCTGCAGGATGTTTGGCCCCGGCAACACTAGGTCTTCTGTGTGGGTTCGCTAAGGAGAGGATAAACACAACAGAAAACAGTCAGACCACATGGGGATGGAGCGCGTCCATGAGATTAGCAGCTATGAATGTTTCCGTGTGTTACTGTACCTATCCTTGAAAATCCATCAATGGTAAACGATGGAGATGTTCACCCAATATGTACTCACTTGAGACAGTCCTGTGATGACTCACCTTGAGTTTGGAGCCCACGTTGAAGCGCGCTCTGCTTTGGCGAGATGAGAAGGTGAGGTAGATGCGTTCCTGGGACTGGATACGGAGGCTGATGTGGCTACCTATGACCAGACAGATGGGCTGGAAGGGAGGGGCTTGGATGTGGTGCTCAAGGTCTAGCCAGTTCCAGCGTCGTCTCAGAGCCCCGGTCTCACTGCAGCAGGATCCTCCCAACTGGGTCAGGTTCACCCTTCAAACACACACACACACACACACCCCAAAGCTTAGGTCCACGTTCCACACACAGGTAGGCCACAGTTACAGTATAGACATGCAGTAATCGCAGAACATTGCCACAGTTGATCTGTGTACGTGATTTTCAGGGCAAGCATTGGGGGGTACACACCATATAAGTCCATTGGGGTGGTAGCATGTAGACTGGCCTCTGGTTGTAAACATGGCCTCAAGGTTTGGCTCAAAGTCCTTGTCCTCCATGATTATATAGATGAAGTCAGCAGCCTCCACAGAGGAGATTATGATAGCAACATTCCCAGATGGATAGCTTTGTTTCCACTAAGGAACTTATTGCAAAACTATTGTACAATTGTAGACAAGCCTGGTGCCTGAGTCCCTTTAATAAAAAGATACAACACATTACCTGTTCCATCCGGATATAACGTGATGAAGGGTTTGCCATTTGGATAAAACCTCAGAAGCAAATGTGTTCTCTAAAAAACAAACAAATACATCACTCATTTATGGTAGTCCATGGACCTGAACAGTAAGGGATAGCATTCACCTGAACAGTAAGGGGTCACGTGGACCTGAACAGTAAGGGATAGCATGGACCTGAACAGTAAAGGATAGCATGGACCTGAACAGTAAGGGATAGCGTGGACCTGAACAGTAAGGGATAGCGTGGACCTGAACAGTAAGGGATAGCATGGACCTGAACAGTAAGGGATAGCGTGGATCTGAACAGTAAGGGATAGCATGGACCTGAACAGTAAGGGATAGCATGGACCTGAACAGTAAGGGATAGCATGGACCTGAACAGTAAGGGATAGCATGGACCTGAACAGTAAGGGATAGCATGGACCTGAACAGTAAGGGATAGCATGGATCTGAACAGTAAGGGATAGCATTCACCTGAACAGTAAGGGGTCACGTGGACCTGAACAGTAAGGGATGGCGTGGACCTGAACAGTAAGGGATAGCGTGGGCCTGAACAGTAAAGGATAGCGTGGACCTGAACAGTAAGGGATAGCGTGGACCTGAACAGTAAGGGATAGCGTGGACCTGAACAGTAAGGGATAGCGTGGACCTGAACAGTAAGGGATAGCGTGGACCTGAACATTAAGGGAATAGGTGTAGTGAGCACTCAGATGAGATAAGTTGGTGTCAGTGACAGTACAGGGATGGTGTTAATGCAGAAACCTACCCTCTCTCTGTGCTGCCTGTCCATCTCCCCCTGGAGGGTGAAGATGTCTGAGGAGTCCATGACGTCCATCTGAGGGAAGCGTGACTCCTCTTGGATAGTCCAAACCTCATTGGACAGTCTGTAGGATATGGTTTTGATCTGACCTTAAAAACACAAGAAAAATAACCCTGTATTTACATTTTTGTCTGAGAATGCAAAGTCACTATACTCAGCATCTCATGTTAGTTAGATAATAAGCATTTTAACTATTTAATGTATCAAGGATTTTTTGTGAAAGCGTGAAAATGGACTTACCTGAAAAAAATCGGTTCTGATTGCCTGTATTCAGGACCTTCTGAAGTTCCCATTCCCGCAACCTTAAGTTAAAATGGGTTAAAATAGAGTTTGGCCTTCCTCAGAGTGCACCATCGGAACAGCGTGAAGTGATTCACACTACTTTGGGAGATTAAGTGGAAAACTCTCCTCTTCTTTCCAAAACTCACACTCTGACAGAAATGTGTCCCTTTGGCCACGTTTAGCTTTTAAGTCTAAAAAGGGCACATAGAGCCCCACAGTGGAGGTGTCATAATACCCATAAAACCTAGCGGTCAAACAGGGAAATGGTTCCAATCGTTTTCCCCCGTTCATTTCTCCCAGAGGGGATTTTAGAAACACTTAAAATAAGGGCTGTGTTTCGTGTCGGCTTACCCTGGCGTGAGTTTTATGGGTATTATGACTCATACTGTGGGGCTCTATTACACATGTATGTTGAGAGGTGTGAGGCGCACCATCATTCGATTAGAGACCATTTATGCTTGATCTGAAAATGTGGTCGGAGACTCAGTATGGAGGGTGTGACGCAATTGTGGAGCCTCCGGAGCCTCCCAAATGTTGTAACAATGCAGAGGGCTCTGTATAGCTCCACATTGACATGATTGGTTGACGGTAGGTGGGGGCGGGAGGTCGTGTATAAACACAAACTCACTTCCTTGACAACTTCCTTCACAACAGCTATGCGCTGCTCCGCGAAGCTCAATAAGTACTGTATGAATGCCCTGACTTCTGCAGAGGCCGTATTACCATAAATGCGGCACGGCCATTGCAGACGACGGATTGACCCTGCAGCGCCTTTTACAGGAGCCGACTGCAGGGGGTTTCAAATAGCTGACACCAAAATGGACAGGGTATAACATCATCTAGATGCTTTCACCTCTGCTCTGCCCGCTCCTTTGCAGCTCTCTTCTCGTGCTTGTTCATGAAGGGTGGGTGAGGGCCCACATCAATCTTCCTGTTCACCTCCACAGCAGCTAAGGCCCGCTCCTCTTCCAGGAGAAACTCTCGCATTTTCTGAGCCCGTTCACAGCAAAAGAGCTGAGTAGAAAAAAAAAGAAGAAAAAAACGGTTCTATGGGTGTAGGAGATTCTTAATTCTAACCCATATCTACAATCTCAGCAGCATGCGATCCACACCAGGAGCAATAAAGGAACATAAGAATGCAATCATTCCAGTCTCTCTCTGAAACAGGTATTTATAGACTGGCCCATTGTTACTTGTATTGATTTGCTTTGAATTGATAGTCTGAAGAACAACTTCACTGTCAGCAGGACTCACCAATTCCAGGTCACGATTATTTTCCAATTGTTCCCGGCGTATGAAAGGGTTACAGGGTTGCTGGCAGTAGTCACATAGAACAAACTCTGTGTCCCGTTTGGACTGAGAGGATCCAGAGCTGGACACCACTGGGATCTAAAGTAGTCAAGCTTCACCATCATCATCACTCACTCCTCTAATGCAAAATGTATGTACAGGACTATATTATGTATGGACAGTACTATGTTATGTATGTACAGTATCTCACAAAAGTGAGTACACCCCTCTCACATTTTTGTAAATATTTGAGTATATCTTTTCATGTGACAACACTGAAGAAATGACACTTTGCTACAATGTAAAGTAGTGAGTGTACAGCTTGTATAACAGTGTAAATTTGCTGTCCCCTCAAAATAACACAACACACATCCATTAATGTCTAAACCGCTGGCAACAAAAAGTGAGTACACCCCTAAGTGAAAATGTCCAAATTGGGCCCCAATTAGCCATTTTCCCTCCCCGGTGTCATGTGACTTGTTAGTGTTACAAGGTCTCAGGTGTGAATGGTGAGCAGGTGTGTTAAATTTGGTGTCATCGCTCTCACACTCCCTAATACTGGTCACTGGAAGTTCAACATGGCACCTCATGGCAAAGAACTCTCTGAGGATCTGAAAAAAAGAATGGTTGCTCTACATAAAGATGGCCTGGGCTATAAGAAGATTGCCAAGATCCTGAAACTGAACTGCAGCACGGTGGCCAAGACCATACAGCGGTTTAACAGGACAGGTTCCACTCAGAACAGGCCTCGCCATGGTCGACCAAAGAAGTTGAGTGCACGTGCTCAGTGTCATATCCAGAGGTTGTCTTTGGGAAATAGACGTATGAGTGCTGCCAGCATTGCTGCAGAGGTTGAAGGGGTGGGGGGTCAGCCTGTCAGTGCTCAGACCATACGCCGCACACTGCATCAAATTGGTCTGCATGGCTGTCGTCCCAGAAGGAAGCCTCTTCTAAAGATGATGCACAAGAAAGCCCGCAAACAGTTTGCTGAAGACAAGCAGACTAAGGACATGGATTACTGGAACCATGTCCTGTGGTCTGATGAGACCAAGATAAACTTATTTGGTTCAGATGGTGTCAAGCGTGTGTGGCGGCAACCAGGTGAGGAGTACAAAGACAAGTGTGTCTTGCCTACAGTCAAGCATGGTGGTGGGAGTGTCATGGTCTGGGGCTGCATGAGTGCTGCCGGCACTGGGGAGCTACAGTTCATTGAGGGAACCATGAATGCCAACATGTACTGTGACATACTGAAGCAGAGCATGATCCCCTCCCTTCGGAGACTGGGCGGCAGGACAGTATTCCAACATGATTACGACCCCAAACACACCTCCAAGACGACCACTGCCTTGCTAAAGAAGCTGAGGGTAAAGGTGATGGACTGGCCAAGCATGTCTCCAGACCTAAACCCTATTGAGCATCTGTGGGGCATCCTCAAACGGAAGGTGAAGGAGTGCAAGGTCTCTAACATCCACAAGCTCCGTTATGTCGTCATGGAGGAGTGGAAGAGGACTCCAGTGGCAACCTGTGAAGCTCTGGTGAACTCCATGCCCAAGAGGGTTAAGGCAGTGCTGGAAAATGATGGTGGCCACACAAAATATTGACACTTTGGGCCCAATTTGGACATTTTCACTTAGGGGTGTATTCACTTTTGTTGCCAGCGGTTTAGACATAAATGGTTGTGTTATTTTGAGGGGACAGCAAATTTACACTGTTATACAAGCTGTACACTCACTACTTTAAATTGTAGCAAAGTGTAATTTCTTCAGTGTTGTCACATGAAAAGATATACTCAAACATTTACAAAAATGTGAGGGGTGCACTCACTTTTGTGAGATACTGTATGTACAGTACTATATTATATATGTACAGTACTATATTTTGTGTGTATGTATCTACTGTACTATATTATGTATGTACAATACTATACCATGTATGGTGAGTACTATAGTATGGATGTACAGTACTATCGTATGGATGTACAGTACTATCGTATGGATGTACAGTACTATAATATGGATGTACAGTACTATAGTATGGATGTACAGTACTATAGTATGGATGTACAGTACTATCGTATGGATGTAGAGTACTATAGTATGGATGTACAGTACTATCGTATGGATGTACAGTACTATAATATGGATGTACAGTACTATAGTATGGATGTACAGTACTATAGTATGGATGTACAGTACTATCGTATGGATGTAGAGTACTATAGTATGGATGTACAGTACTATCGTATGGATGTACAGTACTATCGTATGGATGTACAGTACTGGATGTACATTAATTACTATCGTATGGATGTACAGTACTATCGTATGGATGTACAGTACTATAATATGGATGTACAGTACTATCGTATGGATGTACAGTACTATAATATGGATGTACAGTACTATAGTATGGATGTACAGTACTATAGTATGGATGTACAGTACTATAATATGGATGTATGTACGTACAGTACTATATGATGTATGTGCAGTACTATATTATGTATTTAACATGAAATATGTCATCATGAAAACAACAAGCACTGTGGGAATAGAGTAAGCTCTAGTAAGTGTGGTTTTGTGGTTTTGGCTCTGTACTCCAGCACTTTGGATACAAAATGATACAATGACTATGAGGTGACTGTCAGCTTTATTTTGAGGGTATTTTCATCCATATCGGGGAACCGTTCAGAAATTACAGAACTTTTTGTTTGTACTCCCCCCATTTTAGGGGATCAAAAGTATTGGGAAATATTCACTTATATGTGTATTAAAGTAGTAAAAAGTTAAGTATTTGGTCCCATATTCATAGCACACAATGACTACATCGAGCTTGTGACTTTACACATTTGTTGGATGCACTTGCTATTTGTTTTGATTGTGTTTCAGATTATTTTGTGCCCAATAGAAATGAATGGTAAATAATGTATCATTTTACAGTACACGGTTATCAAAACGTCAAGCCAGGGTAAGCCTACACAGCCCTTTTTTTAGTCATTGCGTGCTACAACTATGGGACAGAACACGTAACGTTTTATTACTTTAACACACACAACGGTTCATCCGATATGGATGGAAATACCCTCAAATTAAAGCTGACAGTCTGCACTTTAACTTCATAGTCATTGTATCATTTCTAATCCAAAGTGCTGGAGGTTGCTTACCTTTTCAAAATGAACCGGCGGTTGTTTCGACTCGGGTTTGTAGGCCAACAGGGAAGGTGGCCCCACATTAGGTATACCATGCGACTCATCCTCCTTCTCCTCGTCTGGCTCTTCGTTCTTCCAGACGACACAAAAGATCAATCAATATTTTCTGTTTTGTTTTGTTTGGTAGTAAATTGGTTGATTGAATAGCCCTGCTGTGATTGAACTATTTTCTATTAACTAATCACATACCGTAGGCTATATACATGTTAGCCTACCTTACCTCTGAATCAGGCCCAATAACTTCACACTGGAGGGCTGTCTGGGATGAGGCTTTTGGCTCAAACCGCTCCACTTCACTTTGAACTACGAGAGAGGAGGTAATTGTAGGAAGGTGCTGACAGATGTTTGAGTAGTCAGAGGGGGGGGGGGGGGAGCAGCAGAAAAGTGTGACGCATTCCAACCCAAACCGTCTGACATTCTGACTACCTTGACAGCTGTCTGTGAGTGTCTGCTCCGCCCACTCCCAGTCTGTCTGGGTCCTGGTGCTCACTATGGTGATGGCTCTGCCGTCCAGCGCATGGACCTCTATGAACTCTGCTGTGGTAGAATCGCTCCTTGGCGGTGTGCTGGATAGTGCGGGATAAAGAGTGCCTGTTCTTCAAGCATGTTAAGACTGTGTGGCAAAATAGTTTCAAGTGCATGCCAATTTTGTTATGAAATGCAATAGCTGTTATTAATCGTATGACAATTCTGTGAATACAACGCTACTACCTCGCTCTCCAAAGGTGCATGAATTGAGGAGCAAACTGAAGTGAAGAGGAAACTGAGGAACTCTCGGAGGGCAGTGGAAGTTTATAAAAAGTGCTTCACTGCTAAAAGTAAAACAAACGCATCAGGGCCAGGATTTGGCCCTTCCTATGGGTACAGGGACCAATCACAATGGGAATACAAAAAAAAAACATGACGTGATTGGTAAATGAGTTGAAAAATCTCACCAATAAATTGTGTGTCCAACTCATTTGCCAATCACATTGTGATGGAAATGTTCTATGTGTGTATCAGATCGTATGTTTAGAATAATGATGCTTTGTAATTGGTTGGGTTCATGCGAGTGACAGATTGACTACAAACAGGAGTTAACCATAATATCACTGATAAGCCCCTGTAGTTCAGTTGGTAGCGCCCTTGCAACGTCAGGGTTGTGGGTTCGATTCCCACGGGGGGCCAAGTTTGAAAATGTATGCACTCACTAACTGTAAGTCGCTCTGGATAAGAGCGTCTGCTAACTGACTAAAATGTAAATGTAAATAAGCAATTTGGCAGTACGCCCACAACATTGCTCTGGGATCCAAAAGGAGTATCTCAGTTTCAAGGTCTCAGCTTTGAGAGAAGAAGCCTCGTGAGGTATCAGTCTGTCACATGCAGGAACCAACGTTAATAATGAATAATGTATATCATGCTTATATGACTTGTTTGTGTAGCAATATATAAGGACTGAAAGGGAACGCCCTTTTCAGAGTTTTCATCAAGCTTGTATTGAGTTTGTGAACCTCTCCAGCCTTGATAATAAAGAGTGATTCATTTAATATTGACTTCAGGTGTCCCTGGTGTTGAATTTCCACCACAACATCATGTTTTTTGCATGCCGATTGTGATTGTGGTACCTGGGCCACTTTAAAATAATATATAAAATCCTCCTTCATTTTTTTTTATCAGTAAATGAACTTAATGAAGGCGAATGGCTGACGCGCGGTTGTTTTAATTGTAACAATAAAAAAGCACTTGTATCCAGTTCCGCTGTCCTCTAACAATAGGCTACCAGCCTATTGGATACATTTTAGTACATTATACTCATTTCTCTAATAATCTCTAATTGAACCTGAAATAATACAAAATGTCTTACTTTATAACCTTTTCGTCTGTGCTCAAAGGAGTGCTGGCATGGGTCTTTGTTATGTTGCCCCCTAGCATTGCACAGTGAAGGTAACGTTAAGTAGGCTATCTATCTGCTTCTAAATGTATACAGTTACAGAACAATTACAGCACAACGACAACGCAGTGAACATGATATCTCATTAGTGAGTTAGCCTACTCACTCTTTCCAAGAGGTCGAAGTTTCGTGTCCAATTCACAGACTTTCCAAATGTCATCCGACGCCATATAGGTGGGCAAAATTTCAACGTTGTCAGATAAACTTGGATACCTGTCCGTCACAAGAGTCGCAACGGGGGGTCTTTCTGATTGTCACAGGTCAACTGGCCCCCTGGGTTTTGCACGTTTTCGACTAAGAACCGAGGGGCGTAAAAGGTCAGTCTTGTCGTCCAGAATCTTGAATGATTTAATCTGTCGTCTGCCCCCTACTCATATTGACAGGGTTTTATGGAGTAAGTGGCACCCACGTGAAAATAAATAGACCCTGTTCAATCACAAATACTAATGACATCATTAATTTTTGATAAAATACATGGCAACAGCTTAGTGTGCATTTTATTATTACATCATGTGGCATTTAGAACTCTGTGATGCCCTTTAGGTCTAAGCCTAGAGATCCTGTTAAATTACTAGAGGGGCTATGTCATAAACCCTAAAAGTTCCAGAATGGGGTGAAAACATCAGTACAGGCATAATCCCGATGTTACTTATGCAGGACAATAACAGTAAGGCTGTGATATATCAGAAATTGTGTAATAGAATTATTGTCAACCCAAAACATTGTCATATAAGTATAAATACAGTTTATATGGGTTTTATGCCAATTTTCTGTATAAATAGATTCTAAAATATATGTAAACAGACCATAAATGTCTCCATTTTTATTTTCTTGGAAAGCAGTGAGTGCTATTATATGATACAATATCAGCACATTTACAACTTGCCTAAGTCCTGTCATCAACTGATTATAGCCAGTGTGTGGCTGTGGATTGACTTCATTGACTTCAATGAATGGGATCATTCCTCTAAAACAGGCTGGCTAGCTAGCTAACAAAGAGTGCAGATAAATTCTACAAATTTAATTATTTTTTACACAATATCTTATCGCAGCACTGGCAAACCATAGTTGGCAACTCCCTGACCAAAAGGGCTGACTTTTATCCCATCGTAAGAAGGTTAATGTCCATATTATGTCTGGTATTCAAATTCTAACCTGTGATCAGTGATCTGCTGAGGACAAGACTTCAGTGAAGCCCTCTCATCCAGTATGATGCACCAAGAGGAGTAATGCGGTGACAAATTGATGACTAGCCTTGCCAATAAAAATCTCAGGTCTATAAAACCTTCATCTGCCTTAGCTGTACGAGTTAGGCCACAGACTGCATGTGTAAGCTACGATTGGCACTGCATTGTGGAGAATAGTTTGATGCTGGATCGATTGGCGTGTACAGTAGGTAAACTGACATATTTCAACGTTATATCTATAATTTCACAGACAATCATCCATGCTTCTTGTTGTAATCAATAGACTTTATGCCAACTTGATTCATTTTTTGGTATCACTCCAGGCTGTAATGTGTCCAGTAATGATTTCCATTCTATTTGCAGACTACTACCTGGCGATAAATTGCAGGGCCTTTTGAGGAAATCATCTACAATGGGAATTGTAGCTCTTGTTCTCTCTCTGCTACTCACCAACGGAATCGTTTTAATCAGTGCAGCGACCAATGATCAGAATTCACAACCAGCTCCTATTATTGAACTCTTTGCAACTGCCTCTGCAGGTGTTGTGGAGCTTGCAGAGGACCACAAGCCCAATGGCTCTTTTCCCTTGTTCAAAACGGCAGGACGAAACCCCCGACCCCATCCTATGTGCTTAGTGTCAACTGGAATCAGAGACACTTTCAAATACATCAATACTGTGGTGTCTGCTCTTGTATTCATCGTTGGAATAGTTGGAAATTCAGCACTCTTGAGAATCATATATGAAAACAAATGTATGAGAAGTGGGCCTAACATTCTCATTGCCAGCCTTGCTTTGGGAGACCTGCTGCATATCGTGATAGACATTCCAATCAACTCTTACAGGGTGAATTACTAACAATGTGGTGTGCAGTTACTGTCTATCCTGACAGAAAATATATATTTTGATTTGATTATCATAATGGTTCAAATCTGATTGTATTATTGAAGTGGGTTTTTTTTTTAGTACAAATTGTTTTGTAATATAATGTTGACATGTTGTTTTTGCAGCTCATGGCTGAGGACTGGCCGTTTGGTTTGGCGCTCTGTAAACTAGTCCCTTTCATCCAGAAAACATCTGTTGGAATCACAGTGCTGAGTTTATGTGCCTTGAGCATTAACAGGTGAGAGGATTGCACATTCAGGTCACATTTCTGTTAGAAGATAATTGGAAATGACTGTATTACTTCGATTTTACAAGCCAAGACCAGAGAATGAATACAGTTGTTATAAGAAAAGTAATACGGTTAGAGTTGGCTGATATCTACAATTCAACAACTACATTTCCTTGAAGTAGGCCCTGAAATTCTCTTTCATTATAATAGGATTTTTGTTACTATTATTAACAAAATGCTCCCTAGCCACATAATTTCCCTGTTTATTTTCTAGGTATCGAGCTGTTACATCCTGGAATCGAATCAAAGGCATTGGGGTTTCAACGTCGACAGCGGTAGAAATAACTTTGATATGGGTGATAGCAACATTCCTGGCTGTGCCTGAAGTTGTCGGCTTTGATCTGATAACAATGGAGTATCGAGGACGGCATCTGACAATATGTCTTCTTCACCCCACACAGACCAATCACTTCATGCAGGTAATGCCAGTCCTGACAACATGCAGTAATATAGAAAACTAAAAGGTCAATAATGTGTTTCATTTGGTTTTCTTTTGATAATAAATGAAAATGACAGATTGATTATATAATGCGGCAAGGGAGGTGTGCTCATCCTCGCATTGCAGTAGGTAGATAAAACCGGAAACCACAATACTAAACACTAGATTTTTACCATAACAGTTTTATAAATCAGCAAAAGACTGGTGGCTCTTCGGCTTCTACTTCTGCACGCCGCTGGCTTGCACGGCTGTCTTCTACACTCTGATGGCCCGGAAGATGTTGAGGAAGAATGAGAATACCCTGAGGAACTATACCATACAGGTGAATACAGCTCTAGGACTGGAGAGCTATTAGATATGCAGGCTTCCGCTCCAGACCAGCAGTAACACACCTGATTCTAACTAATCATGGTCCAGCCCAAAAAACTATGATTAGTTGATTATTTTAAGTAGATGTGTTAGTGCTGGGGTGGAATAAAAGCCTGCACATCCCAGTAGCTTTCCAGGACTGGACTTGGAGTCCCACGGGGTGCAGTATAGACATTGTCTCTCTAGCTCAGTAATATCTTTATTTTTTATGATGTCATTCAAATGTCTAAGATAAATCTCCTGATCTGTTTTCACCCAGAGACGAGAAGTGGCCAAGACGGTGTTTTGCTTAGTGCTTGCGTTTGCCCTCTGTTGGTTACCGTTGTACCTGAGCAGAATCTTAAAACTCACCATTTATGATGAGAAGGATCCTAAGAGGTGTCAGCTACTGAGGTAAGAAAGGATACATAAGACTGTCACAGCTGTTTTCAAAGTGTAGTGTGTGTTACTGAACTGATCCTCTATCATTCCTTTCAGTGGCTTTCTTGTCCTGGACTATATTGGCATTAATATGGCATCGCTGAACTCCTGTATCAACCCTATCGCTCTGTACATGGTCAGCAAACGATTCAAAACCTGTTTCAAGGTTAGATTTAATATAATCTTCCTCATTGTTTGTTATGTTAGTTCTTACACACGAGACCGAGGAAGAGGGAGGTAATGGATGAAGTCTGACAATGTGATGCATGCTGTATGAACTGTATGTCATTTCTGACTCATTGACTTTAGACAGCTAAACTTGTGAGGGCAATGACTTGAGGAGGTGATGGTTAACAAATGCAGTCCTGGAAAACAGTGACCCGAGCTGAACTAGACACCAGACAGGCCATTGCTGAGTCAGCAACACTGGGGTCCTCTGTAGCTCAGCTGGTAGAGCACGGCGCTTGTAACGCCAGGGTAGTGGGTTCGATCCCCGGGACCACCCATACGTAAAAATGTATGCACACATGACTGTAAGTCGCTTTGGATAAAAGTGTCTGCTAAATGGCATATTATTATCATAGCAAAGGTTTAATCTAAGGGCATTCACAGTGCTGCTAGTTTGCATTTTAATCTAAGGGCATTCACAGTGCTGCTAGTTTGCATTTTAATATAAGGGCATTCACAGTGCTGCTAGTTTGCATTTTAATCTAAGGGCATTCACAGTGCTGCTAGTTTGCATTTTAATCTAAGGGCATTCACAGTGCTGCTAGTTTGCATTTTAATCTAAGGGCATTCACAGTGCTGCTAGTTTGCATTTTAATCTAAGGGCATTCACAGTGCTGCTAGTTTGCATTTTAATCTAAGGGCATTCACAGTGCTGCTAGATTGCATTTTAATCTAAGGGCATTCACAATGCTGCTAGTTTGCATTTTAATCTAAGGGCATTCAGAGTTCTGCTAGTTTGCATTTTAATCTAAGGGCATTCACAGTGCTGCTAGTTTGCATTTTAATCTAAGAGCATTCACAGTGCTGCTAGTTTGCATTTTAATCTAAGGGCATTCACAGTTCTGCTAGTTTGCATTTTAATCTAAGGGAATTCACAGTGCTGCTAGTTTGCATTTTAATCTAAGGGCATTCACAGTGCTGCTAGTTTGCATTTTAATCTAAGGGCATTCACAGTGCTGCTAGATTGCATTTTAATCTAAGGGCATTCACAATGCTGCTAGTTTGCATTTTAATCTAAGGGCATTCAGAGTTCTGCTAGTTTGCATTTTAATCTAAGGGCATTCACAGTGCTGCTAGTTTGCATTTTAATCTAAGAGCATTCACAGTGCTGCTAGTTTGCATTTTAATCTAAGGGCATTCACAGTTCTGCTAGTTTGCATTTTAATCTAAGGGAATTCACAGTGCTGCTAGTTTGCATTTTAATCTAAGAGCATTTACGGTGCTAGAATGCAAAGTAAAACCTGGAAATCTGAGCATATTGATAGTAATCTTGGCAGCCCAGAACCAAAATCTCTGGCTAGCTATGTTATGTCTGTCCACAACATATTACGTTTGGTGGTTGACTGTTAGTTGACTGTTGGTTGAATGTTGGTTGGCTGGTAGTTGACTGGTGGTTGACTTTTGGGTGATTGTATTTGAAAATGAGGTGTTGTCCTTTGGACTTCTCTAACTCATTGTCTTTTCGTCTATGTCCCTTAGAAATGCATATGTTGTTGGTGCATACCTCCTGAAGTATTGACGCTTGAAGAGGTGCCGTCTATCATGAAGTCAAAGGTTCAGGACCAAGCCTCTGAGCACAGCAACACTAGAGCTAATAAACCCACCCCCACTTGAATAAGAGGACAGTTGAATGTTCAAACAATATATATTACTATGACATATTCACTGAGGGGTTTTTTCTATGCATTTTTCCTTGCATGATTTACATTTTATTTTAACATTTTTTGCTCTCTATTTTGTATGTGTCTATGGATGTTTCCCTGTAATAATTGCCAAGATGCATTATTTAATATTATGAATATTGAATTAATGTAATTCCTAGACTATGATTTATTATGATCAGTAATAAAATGCCTTTACGTAACAAGAGGCCCCCTTCATCTTCTGTTTGGTGACTAGAATGATGTCTGAGTTTCTATACAATCTGAGTTTCTATACAGTTTGAGTTTCTATACAATCTGTTTCTATACAGTCTGAGTTTCTATACAGTTTGAGTTTCTATACAATCTGTTTCTATACAGTCTGAGTTTCTATACAGTCTGTTTCTATACAGTCTGAGTTTCTATAAAATCTGTTTCTATACAGTCTGAGTTTCTATACAGTCTGAGTTTCTATACAGTCTGAGTTTCTATACAATCTGTTTCTATACAGTCTGAGTTTCTATACAGTCTGTTTCTATACAGTCTGAGTTTCTATAATTAATCTGTTTCTATACAGTCTGAGTTTCTATACCAGTCTTGAGTTCTATACAGTCTGCGTTTCGATACATCTGAGTTTTCTATACAACTGTTTTCTATACAGTCTGAGTTTCTATACAGTCTGAGTTCCTATACAGTCTGAAGTTTCTATACAAGTCCTGAGTTCTATACATTCTGAGTTCTATACACCTGTTCTATACAGTCTGAGTGTCCACGCCCTGGCTCGGGGACACTGTTATGTTGAGCCAGGGTGTGTAATTCTATGTTTGTATTTCTATGTTGGCCTGATTGACTCCCATCAGAGGCAACGAGTGTCCAGCTGGTTGTCTCTGATTGGGAGCCATATTTAACTGTCTGTCTTTCACTTGGTGTTTGTGGTTTCTTGTGCTTATTTGGTTTGTGTAAACCGTAGACATCACTTTTTCGTCTGTTATTTTGATCGTGTGATCATACCCTAATAAATAGAAATATGTTCACCTTCAACGCTGCGCATTGGTCTCTCCCTGACGATCGTGACAGAAGAAACCACCAGAACTGGACCAAGCAGCCTAGTGAGGAGCAGAGTGGGTGGACTTGGCAACAGTGGAGGCAGAGCTTCGACTGGGTCAAGCCGAATGAGGAGCTGAATGGCGGAGATTGGAAGCAGAAGAGCGAGAGTTGGGCGAGAATTATCGAGGCCTGGCCCACGGGGAAGAGAGACTCCCAGAAATTTTTTAGGGGGGGGCTCACGACGTCGGACCAGCAGGAGGCCGCGATAGAGCGGTCCAGCGGGTTGCCAGAGGAGGCCGCCAGGTTACGGGGGCCACTGGTCGAAGAGGGGATGGAGGATGTAGAGGCACGGCGAGAGGTACTGGCGTGTGTTGCCAGTCCGGTCCGGCCCATTCCAGATCCCGGTGTAGGGCCAGTGGTGTGTGTCCCCAGTACGGTCCGGTCCATTCCTGCTCCCCGCACCAAGTCAGTGTTGCGTTTCGTCAGCCCTGTCCGGCCCGGTCCTGCTCTCCGCACCAAGTCTGTGGTGCGCGTCGCCAGCCCAGTCCGGCCCATTCCTGCTCCCCGCACCAAGTCTGTGGTGCGTTTCGTCAGCCCTGTCCGGCCCGTTCCTGCTCTCCGCACCAAGTCTGTGGTGCGCGTCGCCAGCCCAGTCCGGCCCATTCCTGCTCCCCGCACCAAGTCTGTGGTGCGTTTCGTCAGCCCTGTCCGGCCCGTTCCTGCTCTCCGCACCAAGTCTGTGGTGCGCGTCGCCAGCCCAGTCCGGCCCATCTAAGCTCCCCGCACCAAGTCAGTGGTGCGCTTCGTCAGCCCGGTCCGGCCCGCTCCTGCTCCCCGCACCAAGTCAGTGGTGCGTTTCGTCAGCCCGGCTCGGTCCGCTCCTGCTCCCCACACCAAGCCAGAGGTGTGCGTCGTCGGTCCGGCACGACCCGTGCCTGTTCCACTGGTGCCTGGTCCGGCACCGGTCAGATGCGTTACGCCGGAGCTAGAGCAATCCGCTCCATCAGTGTGCAGTCCAGCTCCGGCCAGCGGGGCCAGACCGGACCAGGGGTACTTTGTGGGGTTGGAGAGGGAGTGGGGAGCAGGCCCGGAGCCGGATCCGCCGCCAAGGCGGAGTGCCCACCCGGTCCCTCCCCTGTGGTATTTAGTTGGCGCGGTCGGAGTCCGCGCCTTTAGGGGGGGGTACTGTCACGCCCTGGCTCGGGGGACACTGTTATGTTGAGCCAGGGTGTGTAATTCTATGTTTGTATTTCTATGTTGGCCTGAGTGACTCCCAATCAGAGGCAACGAGTGTCAGCTGGTTGTCTCTGATTGGGAGCCATATTTAACTGTCTGTCTTTCACTTTGTGTTTGTGGTTTCTTGTTCTTATTTGGTTTGTGTTAAACCGTAGACATCACGTTTTCGTCTGTTATTTTGATCGTGTGATCATACCCTAATAAATAGAAATATGTTCACCTTCAACGCTGCGCATTGGTCTCTCCCTGACGATTGTGACACTGAGTTTCTATACAGTCTGTTTCTATACAGTCTGAGTTTCTATACAATCATTTCTATACAGTCTGATATTATATACAGTCTGACTTTCTATACAGTCTGTTTCTATACAGTGTGAGTTTCTATACAGTCTGATTTTCTATACAGTCTGAGTTTCTATACATTCTGAGTTTCTATACAGTCTGTTTTTATACAGTCTGAGTTTCTATACAGTCTGAGTTTCTATACAGTCTGTTTTTATACAGTCTGAGTTTCTATACAGTCTGAGTTTCTATAAGGTCTGAGTTTCTATACAGTCGGAGTTTCTATACAGTCGGTGTTTATATACAGTCTGTGTTTATATACAGTCTGTGATTCTATACAGTCTGAGTTTCTATACAGTCTGTGTTTATATACAGCATGTGTTTCTATACAGTCTGAGTTTCTATATAGTCTGAGTTTCTATACAGTCTGTTTTCTATACAGTCTGTTTCTTTACAGTCTGAGTTTCAATACTGTCTGAGTTTCTATACAGTCTGAGTTTCTATACAGTCTTAGTTTCTATACAGTCAGAGTTTCTATACAGTCAGAGTTTCTATACAGTCAGAGTTTCTATACAGTCAGAGTTAATATACAGTCTGTTTCTATACAGTCTGAGTTTCTATACAGTCTGTTTTTATACAGTCTGACTTTCTATACAGTCTGTTTTTTATACAGTCTGTGTTTCTATACAGTCTGTTTCTATACAGTCTGTTTCAATACAGTCTGTGTTTCTATACAGTCTGAGTTTCTATACAGTCTGAGTTTCTATAAGGTCTGAGTTTCTATACAGTCTGAGTTTCTATAAGGTCTGAGTTTCTATAACAGTTGAGTTTCTATACAATCTGTTTTTTATACGTCGTTTTCTTCTATACAGTCTGAGTTTCTATACATCTGAGTTTCTATAGTCTGTTTCTATACAGTCTGAGTTTTTCTATCATCTGTTTCTATACAGTCTGGAGTTTTCTATACAGTCGGAGTTCTTAAGTCCTGAGTTTTCTATACAGTCTGAGTGTTCTATAAAGGTCTGAGTTCTAGACATCTGAGTTTTCTATAAACAAGCTGTTTCTCATACATCTGTGGTTCTATACAGTCGACGTTTTCTATAATGTCTGATTTCAATACCTCTGATTTCTTCTAATCAGGCTGTGGTTTATTACAGTCTGTGATTCTATACAGTCCTGAGTTTCTATCCAGTCTGAGTTTCTTCTAATACAACTGTTTAGTACAGTCTGTGTTTTCGATCACTCTGAGTTTCTATATAGTCTGGGTTTCTATACAGTCTGAGTTTCTTTACAGTCTGAGTTTCTATACTGTCTGAGTTTCTATACAGTCTGAGTTTCTATACAGTCTTAGTTTCTATACAGTATGAGTTTCTATACAGTCTGAGTTTCTATACAGTCTGAGTTTCTATACAGTCAGAGTTTCTATACAGTCTGTTTTTATACAGTCTGAGTTTCTATACAGTCTGTTTTTATACAGTCTGAGTTTCTATACAGTCTGTTTCAATACAGTCTGTGTTTCTATACAGTCTGAGTTTCTATACAGTCTGAGTTTCTATAAGGTCTGAGTTTCTATACAGTCTGAGTTTCTATAAGGTCTCAGTTTCTATACAGTCTGAGTTTCTATACAGTCTGTGTTTATACAGTCTCTGTTTCTATATGGTCTGAGTTTCTATACAGTCTGAGTTTCTATACAGTCTGAGTTTCTATAAGGTCTGAGTTTCTATACAGTCTGAGTTTCTATAAGGTCTGAGTTTCTATTCAGTCTGAGTTTCTATACAGTCTGAGTTTCTATACAGTCTGAGTTTCTATAAGGTCTGAGTTTCTATTCAGTCTGAGTTTCTATACAGTCTGAGTTTCTATACAGTCGGTTTTTATACAGTCTGAGTTTCTATAAGGTCTGAGTTTCTATACAGTCTGAGTTTCTATACAATCTGTTTTTATACAGTCTGAGTTTCTATACAGTCTGAGTTTCTATAGTCTGTTTCTATACAGCCTGAGTTTCTATACAGTCTGTTTCTATACAGTCTGAGTTTCTATACAGTCTGTGTTTCTATACAGTCTGAGTTTCTATACAGTCTGAGTTTGTATAAGGTCTGAGTTTCTATACAGTCTGAGTTTCTATAAGGTCTGAGTTTCTATACAGTCTGAGTTTCTATACAATCTGTTTTTATACAGTCTGTGTTTCTATACAGTCTGAGTTTCTATACAGTCTGAGTTTCTATAGTCTGTTTCTATACAGTCTGAGTTTCTATACAGTCTGTTTCTATATAGTCTGAGTTTCTATACAGTCTGTGTTTCTATACAGTCTGAGTTTCTATACAGTCTGAGTTTCTATAAGGTCTGAGTTTCTATACAGTCTGAGTTTCTATACAAACTGTTTATAACAGTCTGTGTTTCTATACAGTC